GAGAACTGATCAGCCTCATTAGGAAAGAGGGTTTGCCAACAAGTGTGAAAGTTAGTCTATATCCAAGAAAAAACTTGTAGGATTATAGAGCTTCTTGAATAAATAACCATTACAAGAACACTTACTGAGAACCTACAAGGAGCAGCAATAGGGATACGTGTGAGAAAGAGAAATCAAACAATAAGAGTCAAGACAAACTGGTGCCCAGGACTACACATAAAGACAGAGCAAGAATAGTATTGGTGCTGTCGTCACGCAGGAAGAATGAAGGATTACAGATCATCTAATGTGTTTTCAGAACGATACACCATATTAACAAGTGGAGCCTAAGGAAATTAGAGCAACTATCACCAGGTGACTCAAAGGGATGAAAGGATCTGGAACAACATTTGGTGGAAACAGTAACAGAAGACATAAAAATATAAAATAGGACAGGATTCAGCAGGGGTTGACCAAAGATGCCAGACTAAACCAACAACCTTCAGTTATCAAAAGAAAAGGTTTTAAGAAATGCAGAAAAACCTGTTCAAGACAGCTTTTGATACAGTGCCACATGGAAAATTACTCCTTAAGTCAAGGAAGAGACACTGGTGTGATTTAGCTACAAGTCATCTAGCTCTGAAGATAGCACCAAGGTGTTAATGCAAGTTTAAATGCAGGACAGCAGAGGAGCTTACACATCCCTTAAGCACAGCCTAAATGGCCTGTAGGCGGCACAAGCAACTGATAGTGTAAGTAGCCTGTGAATGAACCTCCCAAAATAACACCAGCAGCTGCCACCCTGTGATTTGAGACTCCTTAAGCACAGGAGGAGAGAGGAAGGAAAAAGCCAAAGAAATCGTTGGTGCAAAGGCAAGGAAGTATGAACAGCTGGAGGGAGGAACGAACTGCTGAGATAAACTGAGGTCCTATCAGCTTGTTTATAGTAGAAAAGAAGAAAAAGGGGAAAATTGTAAAAGGCAACGAGAGCAAAGGAACTGCAAACACACCTAAAGGAGCTGAACCTTCCTGGCTGGTCAGTGGCCACCTCCAGCCCCCCAGCTGCTCTATCTCTACAAGGGACTATCTTCCTGCAGATCAGGACTATCTGCCTCCAATCCAGCTCGGCGAGCTCTTCCCAACAGGCTCGGCACAGCACGGCTTGGGCTGGCACAGCCGAGCATCTCTCCCACAGCTGCTTTGCCAAGAGCACTCGCCACCTGCATCATGCTCCCCCGCTGCTCGGCTGCCCGCTATCCATGTTTATCACTCCGGCAACAGAAGTATCAGTCTGGCCACTGCTATTTTCAGAATTCTAATTAATTATCTTTGCACGAAGTCTACGTTAATGATATTTGCTGAGGAAAAAGAACAGGGAGGCAGTCACAGCCTGGGAAGACCAGAAAAGAACATAAAAGAAGAAATACCACAGGACGAAAAGGCAGACCTCCTCATATATTGATAAAGAATTAAGTTACAGAGAGGGGTAAAGGACATTTTTCACAATGTGGGAAGGTTGTTAACAGGCTCTTCCAAGGATTTAAGCTAGGATTTGTACTGCTTCACATATTCTCAAGAAACTTTGAGGCAAGTAGTAAATAACTCGGTTAGAAAAATCTGTAGACAACAAGCTTATTGAGAAGGATCACAGTGACACTGAGCAACTTGGTAATAAAATGATGTACTGAATTACAGAAAACACAAAATAACACAGCAAAATGGCTACACAGCACTATGTACACACTTATGATCTTCCACTTAAAGACCTCAAAATCACAGTGTGTAATTTTTCTAACATGAGCTAACCATTTAAGTGCAATCAAAAAGGCAAATAAATCAAGAACAAAACAGAAAACTAAGCATTATATATTCATGATACACTCTGCATTCTGATCACTACATCAGCTCTAATCATCTCGCTTCAGAGACAGACCCTTTGCAAGGGATACAGAACAAAGGAACACGGATCAGAGGTATGGAGGGGCACAGAGCAACCACAAGCAAATCCTCTGTGTTAAATAGATCACGGGGATGAGGGTCTCTAATATAATAAACCCTCCAGAAAACTCTCCTTCACACAACATAGAATCAAGTGAGATGCAACTAAAATATTGAGAATAAATACAAAATTTAAGTTGTTCAGATTTAAAAATAAAGCTTGCACAGGAAGAGGCAAGATATAAATTGAATCAAGAGCTGTAAAGCAGAACATTCTTAATCATTAGAGAAGTAATAGTATGGCTTCCCAAACAATAATTCAGGCAAGAAGCCTAAGCCTGTTCCAAAATGGAAGTGGGAAGAAAAAGAAGGCAAGAAAGAGACGATGGTGCTTCCACATGCAATCGTAGGAAACTGAATTCTGAAACCCAAGAGTCCATTCCAAGACTTTGCGTTCCTAAAAAAAACTTCCAAGATGACAAAACTCCTATATTTCAACAGTTCATTAAAACATGCTGTGAATCTATGAACTTCAACTAAACACAAAGTAGTTAAAATAAAAATTGAGATGAAGGAGAAAATTTTGAAGGACTGTTTAACAACGAATATCCTGGTGGCATACAAGGTTCAGTGTGACCTTGCAGAGTAGGAATAAGAGTTACATTCCGGAAGAGAGATAAGGATAAAAAGCTTGACAAACCCAATATTGTTTCAACGGGGATCTGATACTAGAATTTTCTTGCCTTCTAGCTGTATTCTAGAAATATATTTTTTTAATACAGCAAATTTCATCTGTAAAACTATTAAACTATGCTATTTTATAAACTGCATCAGATAGCTAACAACATTTAAAATTTTGTGTCTCTGTCCAGAACGAGATTTAATTTCTCCCTTCCCTTCAGTGACGTGCCTATAATTGAAGACAGAATAGAGAAGGGACATCATCTGCCTTATCTTTCCTGTAAAAGCGGTGGCAGACTTAGTGTTAGAGAAGACCTTAAAGAGTTCTCTGAATTCTTAATTGCTGTGCACTCGGAAGGCACTGGCTGCAGAAATGTTCCCTGTTTTGTCCCTATCACCAGCCCTGACAAACAGTCCTGAGCAAAAGGCCAAACACTTGACCCAACTGCATAGCTTCTTTGCTTGATCCCGACAAACCCTCAAGTACAATACTGAAAACCAATTGCTTAGCTCCCAGAATCCCATTACTGTCCAACCTTGCAGACAATCCCCATTTGGCTGATACCACCAGGCAGTGTCAGCTCCTCACTTGGAAAGGAAGCACCCACCTGGAGAAGTAGCAATGTTTCATATTGGTGTGGAGCCTTCAATTCCATGACAGATTGGAAATGCAGATTGTTCAAGGTTAATGCTGTTAGCCCTACTTTCGGATGCAGTGACTGGGGCTGGGCATGCTGTGAAATCACTTTTTGTTCATGATCACAGTCTTTTAAGAGATTCCCATTTTTTACGTCCCCAATGGAAGCATAGAATTTCAACAGAATATCTAATAGGAGATTTGGGTATTCAAATTTTACATTTGAAGCTTTCATAAGTAAATTAGAGCAAACAATTATAAATCCTTGTCTCCTTTAAATTAGAAGTCACATTACAGTAACGTCTCAATATCAGAAATGAGAACTGTGCTATGAACCGCATAAACACAGTGGAAAAACACTGACCTTGTAAGAGAGAACAGTATGTTTAGAAGTCACTATGTTGCATTGTTTGAAGTAATATCATAAGGCAAGGACTAATGAGAGTAGGAAGTCATGAAAGGGTCCCCCAAGGCCTGACCAGGCACAGTGGAGTCTTCCATTTGCAAGGAAAGGAAGACAACCTGGTCCTGGGGAATGCAGTTGCAAGACCAAGCTGAAGAGCGTAACGCTTACAGTTGGCTTCAGTGCAAGAACGACACTACCAATGTCTTCATCAGCATACAGTGTATGCTGTTAAGCATTACAGAGACGCTGTGGATGCCCCATCCCTGGAAGTGTTCAAGGCCAGGCTGGATGAGGCTTTGAGCAACCTGGTCTAGTGGAAGGTGTCCCTGGCCATGGCAGGGGGGTTGGAACTAGATGGTCTTTAAGGTCCCTTCCAACCCAAACCATTCCATGATTCTATGATTCTATTAATAGTGGGATGTCTCTCCATCCTGAATGCCTGCCTTAGTCACCACCAGGACTGTATGGGGTCAGAGGGCACAGACTCCAACACCTACTGACATACAAACTGTTCACCAGAAGCATGTACACACAGCTGTGAGTATACGCACGCACATCTTCCTCGAGTTTACATTCCGCTAAGAATGAAAGTAAATTGGTATTGTAGGTCACACTTTGTCCTGAATAAATGTCAGTGATAATCGGGAATAAGTAGAGAGGAAAGTTCCTGAACAAAAAATCATGTACTCAAAAGACATTATTTAAATAAACCAAGTCACAAAATACCCCATCAGCATTACAGGCTGTCTCCAGTGATGTTTCAGTTTGCACAAAAGGATGCTTTCGAAACTATTCTCCTGATCACTCCTACCGTGTTTTGGTGGGCACACTAGAGCAGTCTCGGAGCAGACAAAATGGGTTCCTTTGGATGAAACAGGACTTGCAGATGCACGCCAGGAACGCACTTACATGCTCTGCCGCTTCAGGGCAGTCGGTGCACAGGGACAGACGAGGCCAACTCCAAAGTAACACCCTGCGTGTGTAGTGTAGACACGGGGTTTGCTCTACAGATTCACTCTGCATTACACTACCTGCCTCTGCAGCCACAGATGCAGGTAATTCTGTACTCCCATTCTATCAAGAAGAACGAACACAAGCCAACAGATTTCACAGATTTTAAGTGTCTTGCCAGTTCGTACATCCCCACTTCTCCCCTCACAGTGCCAGCTTTGTTACAGCCTTTTACAGAACGCAGCCTGCCTATATGCTGTCACAGATGGGAGAAAGTGTTAACATACTGATCTATGTTTCAGTGGAAACAATCATTTAAGGGCTAGAGGCCACTGACAGCAGCACGCAGCAATTGCTAGCTGAATTCACATACATGCCAAAAAAAACCCTTGCAACCTGCTGGCAAACATTCCTCTTCCAACTGCACTATTAGTTCCCATAAAACTAATCTGTAATCACTTGGCTCATTGCAAAATTCACCCTATGTACAAGAATTAGGCCTGCTGAAAGGACACTAAATAAATAGAATTGGAGGATTTTGGAAAAATAAAGGCAATATGTTAGCGATGGAATTTATTCATACACAAATGAGATATCTGCATTACCAGGGTGTCCTGCCAAAAAGGTTGATAATAATGTATCTAGAATTAAACAAACAATGTTAGGACATGCCCTTATTAGATTTCAACTAAGCAGATTCCTGACATGGTAAATAATTCCTAAGAAAATAAAGCCCTCCTGGAAGAGGTATTATAGAATGACCATGAATGTTCCAAAATGTTCTAGGGATTGGATGCTTAAAGGTGTTACTTTTCCTAATGCAAAGAGAGAAGAGCATTTCAGGTTACTGGTGCGTTTTCTATGGGCACAGTCTGACTTTGTTAGACTCCTACTCTTCTATTATATATTTTGTCTATATAGAACTATAGATTCTTTTATGTTGGAAAATATGTTTATAACAATCAAGTCCAGCCATTAACCTAACACTGCCAAGTCCACCACTAAACCATATCCCTACATGCCACAACTACACATACCTCCAGGGATGGTGACTCAACCACTTCCCTGGGCAGCCCATTCCGATGCCTGACAACCTCTTCAATGGAGACATTTTTCCTCATATCCAGTCTAAACTTCCCCTGGCAAAACTTCAGGTCATCTCCTGTTGTCCTGTCACTTGGGAGAAGAGACCAACCCCCACCCCTCTGCACCCTCCTTTCAGGTAGTTGCAGAGAGCTATAAGCTCTCCCCTCAGCCTCCTCTTCTCCAGAGGGAACAACCCCAGTTCCCTTGGTTGCTCCTCATGTGACTTGTGCTCCAGACCCTTCCACAGCTCTGTTCCCTTCTCTGGACACGCTCCAGCACCTCAGCATCTTATATAAAACATGACAGAAAAAATAACTATTTTAAGGCTTCATCTGATTACACATGAGCATCCTGGAACAGGGAATAGCCAGGTAAGTACTGGCCCCTAAACTCTACTTGTACAATTCATGACTCACTATCCTGTACGTTAAACATACTTCTGTTAAAGCTCATAAAATGCACAACAGAGCTTTCTAACCTTGCAGAGATGTGTCCCTATCAGTGAAACTGCTCGGCACCATTTAAAACAGAAGGCACTAGTTCAGACCTCTCCGCAGACTTCTTTCTCAGTGAACAAGGCCAACAACAAACATACGCAACAACTGATGCTTCTTGCCCAAGGGACACGTGAGCCCAGACCACTTGGTGAGGGTCACACCACACTCTCTCCCTCATCCCCAACCATTCCAAGGCGCTTGGCTCGCACACAGTGAGGGGGTGACCCACAAAGCACACTGCACCCCTGCAGAAGACATGCAAACTTCAGCTGCAGAGAAATACGAGGGGGAAATCAGCCAAGCTGGTCTCATTCCACATGCAAGACGTGGGACGCTGACACTTCAACAGTGAAGCCAATCTTCATTCCCCTTTTTAAGCTGAGAGGACAATCACTGAATGATCGATGTAAGGATTCAGTGGCAGGTTTTCTGTTGCTGTTTCTAAAAGAGCAAAAAACACAAAGTATGCAGCCAATCTACAAACCAAGTAAAACACCTGTACTATGCATCAGGGCTTGGCCAATGAAAAAATACCTTAGCTTTTATAACATATATATCAGTACAAACCACTTCCTCTTGTCAAAAATAGACAGCAAGAAAAAGATAAAGAACCTATTTTTCTTTTAAGCACATTAAAAGCTCCAGACTGCAGAGAGAAAACTAAGAATGTAAACCAGAAGGTGCAGAGTTTTTATTTAAGTTTAAAATCTTCTTAGATATCAGTAACTGCTGAAGACAGTTTTTATTACACCATCACATTTTCATCAAATTAAGAAAGCATCATAACTAGTTTTAGTCATCATTTAGTTTTGCACTGTTAAAATTCCAACCATTTCATTTAATACCAGCTAAATTATCAATATTTATGAGTGGAAAAGGCTCGAAATTAAATATGTATTATATTGCTCAGGCAGCAACTTGTTTAAAGTGACAGAGGCACAGGGGATGCAAACTAGTATTTGCTTTAATTTACACAAAAGGTACTTCTTAAATATATACAGCTAAAGGCAATTTAAACAGTCTCATCCATATCTCCAGGTTTATTACTGGGTATGGGAGAGGGTTTAAAAAGCAGAACAGCATTTCAGCACAGCAGTTCTTGGTCTGCCGTGAACTTGGGGGTCAGGGGATTTCTCTAAGGACCCACTTTGGCTCTATCATTTAAATTCTATGAAAATAAAGGCATCATTTAAAGGGAAAGATTGCACTGGGTGCTCTGAAAATAGGATCAAAGCTGTGTGATTCTGTGCAGTAGCTCTAAGTATCCCTCTAAAACACCGAAGTACCACTCGAAAAAAACCCTTAGAACAAGTACAGCAGCACTTATAAAGCAAAATTTACCATCAAAGTTAAGCACAACGTAAGGCTCTTGACTTAGTACTTAGCTTGCTGATTCAACACAGGGACAGGTAAACTTGAGTATTCTGCTGAATCAGCACACCACTGACCTAGAAATCAACACTGATGTAGGCAAGTATTTTGTTCTAATTGCTATATGGAATAAAGGAAAGCGAGGCAGGGTAAGTTATGCTGTTTAACACCAACAAAGGAAAGAGGCACCACAGGTACAATGAAAAATGTTGAGTCCCACATTTTAATTTTAAACCATTCCTTCAAGTAAATGAGTCAGCACAATTCAATTCACAGATTTTATCATGAGTACTTCATGTTTTCCCAACCACCCTTCTACAGAGCCATGTGTGACACCAGGAAGTGTATGCACTGTACAGAATAAGCAAATCGTTCCGGTTTGGTGCTGCAATCTCAGGAAATCCAAAGAAAAGCCCTTTTTTTTTTTTAAATTAAAAAATAAACCCACCATATAATTCAAAGCAATATATTGTAGAAGAATAGAGTACATACAGGGATGAAAATTCTGTTTTTAAAGGTGATAACAGCTACCTTAAAGGTCCTTTTCCATAAACAGGTTCAAAACAGTTTTGAAATTCAACTATTTCTATCATTCCTTAACATCTTTGAAAGAGCAGTAAGTTCTCTTGGTGTTTTCATAATGAAAAGCACTAAAAGAATACAACATTTTCTGCTCTATTTTAGGGGTAGTCCAGTAATTCTAAAGTTTTCTGCAAGACTTTTTTTTTTTTTTTTTAAAATACACACACCCCAAAATCTCCCAAAAAGATCACAATATCAAGCCATATGGGAAAAACAACAACCTGAAGAAGCAAAACTCTGGTCACTAACTTAAATCTACAATCCCAACTTTATCATTTGCACTTGCACCTAAACCAGTATGCACAGCTGTCTGCACCATTTTTAATTTCCACTTGAAACTGGACATGAGGTCAGGAAAGAGTAACACAGCAAACCCAGAGCCCATCACAGAACCCTTCTGAAATCAGCAGTAATGTTTGCTTTTTGCCTGACTCACTGCAACAGAGGAAATGAAGGATTAAGCAGCTCTAGAGCAAGGCTGGGTGTCATGCTTGCTCACACCTTCTCGTCAGCCCCCTAACGCCTGGGGACAGTGGTGGCTCAGCTTCAGACAGTTTAAGGTTGACCGTGCTGCCTGCCTTGTTCACGCCACATTAATGTATAAAGCTGTTCAACCATCAGCTCTGGAATTTTTGCAGAGCATGAACATAAGGTTTTTGGCTTATCACAGAGCATGACTTCACCCTGAAGTGCCACACCAGAAAAGGCACGTTCAGGAGCTGACTGCTGGGAGTGCCAGCCTCCAGCAGTGCTGTGCTGCAACTTAAGGGCATTGTGCGAACAGCTGAGGCTTGGGAGCCCTGACTGGACTTGGGGATGCTCCTGATACTCCTCAGTTTTCATACTTGTTCACCAGGAATACTACCAATCTATCACATAACCACACTGAAACAGAGAAAAGATGGACCTCGAAAGATCATCTGGTGCATCCTTCCACAGAAAAGGGAGCCGAGATGGGATTATCTAGCACTCTGTCCAGCTACATCTTGAAAGCTTCCAGTAGTGGAGGTTCCACCATGTCCCTGGGGAGGTTGTTCCAGTGATTCATTGTTTTCCAAATTGACTGTTGTCAAAAACACTCATTTTGCACAATATTTTATCTTGATACTGTGCAGGTCTGAGAATTCCAGTAGTGATCAAGGAAGTAAGGATGACAGTCCTTTTCCTAAAGATCCAGCCACTTCAGACACAGAACAGCAGGTGAACCAAGTCTCACTTCTCTGTTGACTGGATTGCAAGGGTTAATCAAAGCTGCCTATTCTACTGGCACAGAACTGAGAAATGCTGCAGCGATAACCTGACACGTTAATTCTGGGCACAAAGGCGCCACATTTTCTATGGGAAAGCATTCAACAAATCTAATTCCTGTTTGTTAAACCATTTCTGTGCCACTTATGCAAATATTTCACAATACGTGAAGAGACCAGAGATAATTATAGTTGAATCATTACCACAGAGTCAGTATCTACTACTAACTATTCTGTAGTATCTTTTGAAAAGTCTTCCATTAATTTAAGTTCCCTCAAATGGCCAAAACTCTTAAGCACACAAAATACATCATGGAACATATCAATAAAACTATTCCCAAATGCCAAGTCCTAATTTTCCACTTGTCATTTTAATTACACAGTATTAATAAAATCATAATTTCAATCCCTAGGAACACAGCCCTATGTTGACTTTGAATAACAATTTGGCTATTCCACAAATTAAAATCTGCCTTTTCAGCTATGACAAATATTTTTTCAGAATAATGAAGGGCTTTAAAACAGTCCAAATCTTTTCTCTTCTTGTCTCTAGAGCTCGATTTTCTACATCAGTCAACATTTTTAAAAACTATTTGTACCGAAAACCCTTTTATACATTTGTGTTAAAAGACAACCAC